ATACCATAAAGAAAAACACACAAACTTTAATTGACGCAAGTAAAGAGGTTGGTCTAGAAGTAAACACAGAGAAAACTAAGTATATGTTACTGTCTCGTCACCAAAATGCAGGGCAAGATCATGACATAAAGATAGGAAACAGATGTTTTGAAAATGTGGCACAGTTCAGATATTTGGGAACAATGATAACAGATCGAAACCTGATTCAGGAGGAAATTAAGAGGCGATAGAACTCGGGTAATGCTTGCTACCATTCAGTCCAGAACCTTTTGTCTTTTCGTCTGGTGTCCAAAAACATAAAAATTAGAATATACAAAACTATAATTTAACCATTGGTTCTGTATGGGTGTGAAACTTGGTCTCTGACATTAAGGGAGGAACATAGAATGAGGGTGTTGAGGAGAATATTTGGACCGAAGAGAGATGAAGTGACAGGAGGTTGGAGAAAACTGCATAATGAGGAGCTTCATAACGTGTACTCTTCTCCAAGTATGATTAGAATGATCAAATGAAGGAGGATGAGGTGGGCAGGTCATGTAGCACGAATGGGGGAGACGAGGAATGCGTATAGGATATCGGTGGGAAAGCCAGAAGGAAAGAGACCACAGGGAAGAGCTAGACGTAGGTGGGTGGACTATATTAGAATGGATCTTAGAGAGATAGGATGGGATGGTATGGATTGGATAGATATGGCTCAGGATAGGGACAAGTGGAGGGCTCTTGTGAACACGGTAATGAACCTTCGAGTTCATATAAAATGCTGGGAAATTCTTGAGTAGCTGCAGAATTGGCGGCTCCTTCAGAAGGGCTCAGCTCCATGAGTAAGTAAGTAAGTACTGTAATATCTACAACCTATATCAGTGAATATTTAACATGTTAGTTTTAACATTTCATGAGAAACTTATTACTGATATTTTAAATCCTTTACATACACAATATGCGTACATGCAGTAAGTAGTTTCTTGTATTATTATAGTACACGCCTTCAGATTGTGATACTGACCACTACCCGGTGGTGGCAAAAGTTACGGAGAGACCGGCAGTGAGAAAGCAAACAACACATATAGTTCATATAGAGAGGTTCAATCTCAAGAAATTAAACGAGGTAGAGGGTAAAGAGCAGTATGGTGTTGGAATCTCAAATAGGTTCGCAGCTTTGGAAAAATCAGACACTGAGGTGGACGTTAATAAAGCTTGGGAAACTATAAGAGAGAATATAAATGTTTATGCCAAGGAGAGTCTAGGTTATTATGAACTGAAGAAGCATAAGCCACGATTAGATGAAAGAAGCTCAAAATTATTAGATCAAAGAAAGCAGGCCAAATTGCAATAGTTACAGAATCCAAACGAGTTAAATGGGGATAATCTGAACAATATAAGACATGAAACCAGCAGGCATTTCAGGAACAAAAAGAGGGAATATCTGAAAGGCAAAATTGATGAGCTTGCAATGAGTAGTAAGAATAAGAATAGTAGAGACCTGCATAGAGGAATAAATGACTTTAGCAGGTGTTACCAGCATGGCAGTAACTTAGTGAAGGATGAAAATAGTGATCTGCTTGCAGACTCCCACAACATTTTGAATAGGTGGAGGAACTACTTCTCTCAGTTATTAAATGTGCATAGGGTCAGTAATGGGCCGCCCCACAGATCAAGCGGTTAGTCGCTGGCTTCCCGCCGCGACGGCCCGGGTTCGATCCCGGGTCTGGTCAAGTGGGATTTGTGGTGGACAAAGTGGCGCTGGGCCAGGTTTTCTCCGACTACTGCGGTTCTCCCTGCCAATCTTCATTCCACCAATTGCTTCACAATCATCCTCACCCATCATCTGGGGCTGGTACAATAGGCCAGAAGTGGCCGCAGTACAAGGGACTTAGTCCCACCCCACTAGTATTAAAAGAAATTAGGGTCAGTGATGTTAGGCAGATAGAAATCCTTACAGCTGAGCCGTTAGTACCTGATCCTAGCACCTTTGAGGTTGAAACTACTATTGCAAAAGTGAAAAAGTATAAATCGCCAGGTAGTGATCCAATTCCAGTAGAACTTACTCAAGCAGGAGATGAAATATAACGTTCTGAGGAGAATAATTGAACCTAAGAGAGATGAAGTGACAAGCAGTTGGAGAAAACTGCATAATGAGGAGCTTAATAACTTGTACTCTTCTCCAAGTATAATTAGAATGATCAAGTAAAAAAGGATGAGATTGGCAGGACATATAGCATGGATGGGGCAGAAGAGGAATGCATATATGATATTGGTGAGAAAGCAGAAAGGAAAGAGACCACTGGGAAGACCAAGAAGTAGGTAGGTTGACAATATTAAAATGGTTCTTAGAGAGATGGGATGGATTGGATTGATCTGGCCAAGGATAGGGCCAGTGGAGGGCTCTTGCTAACATGGTAAAAAACCTTTGGGTTCCACAAAATGCTGGGAAGTTCTTGAGCAGCTGCACAATTGGTGGCTTCTCAAGAAGAGCTGAGCACCGTGAGTGAGTGAGTGAGTGAGTGAGTGAATGAGTGGTAGTACACCCCCTGAAGATAGTTTTGTAAGGCCAAAACCTGTCGGGGTTTCAACAACATGTAATCAACATATGGAAATATATTACTTATATTTACATGGTAACTTAGATCGTACTTTAACACAATTAATTTCGCAGGTCGAATTACGTTAAGATAGCTCTCAAGCAAAACAGATGTACGTAGCCCAACTCGTCGCCTTATTGTAAATATAGCCTTTACCACAATGGCAAATTAATCCATTCTAATAACAGCATGAAAGTGTCTGGTTACTCACCATTATACCAAGCCTTTTGCAATGATACACAGAGCAGGATCACCACACATACACAGAGACACACTGAGAATGCTATACTTTACCACCGAAATTCACCAGACTTAACACACGCTACTTAGGAAAGAAAATTTAAAAGTCACTGGGAATCACACAGTGCAATGTGCTCGACATGGAGAGTCAAATGCGGGGGTTGACATTTGCTTGCCCAATACTTTCAAACCGGCCCGCGATAACCATGTATAAAGTCTTTCTCCGGCAGTTTTTGACCGCGAGAATCCTAACCCGCAAATATAACTTTGTGTGTATGCGCATGCGCCGCGCAAGTCAGAGTCCGTTCAGATCGTTCAGATTGCTGCAGAAACTCAACAAGTTCTAGCTCTCATTCTTCAAACATATGTACGCACTAAAATGTCTGGGCACGTGCGTACGCACACAATCTCACATGGATTTTGAATATGTTATAAATATGATGGCTGCTAGTAGATGAGCTATTTCTCCTTTTGCTGAAAAACATATGATTATATTTTTCCTTTTCTCATAGTGAACTTTTAATCCACTAGAAACAGTGTTTAGATGAATCCATTACCAATATACACATTGTTCATTTACACTATGGAAGAACAAATAATAACACGTATTTTCTCACGAGTACATAATTTCCCTATTGATAAGAAAACTGAGTCGAGATTTAGGTCGTGGCAAAAAAAAAATCCGATTCAAATCATTCCGCGGACTTCTCGGCGGTTTTTAGCCACTAACACATGGAGTGTATGAAACCCACGGCCTTAACCTCTAATTCCTTTATGGCCGACAACCGTTGCAATCCGTCGAAGTCTTATGCACAGACTTCAATGCAAGGCCAGAAAATCAAACAGTTGAATTTATGGCCTGCTATTAAGGTTTAAACAAAACACATTCGGACTATATATTGCCGATGTGAGCCTATACGTATGTTATAAATACAAATGAAGGAATCGTGAGGTAAAAATTACATTACGGAAAAAACACAGCTGACATATTTTGTTCCGTTGACATCAGAGCTTCCTTAACTCACATTACTTACTTCCCACTAGGCAGCCTATAGCACGGGCGGTTAGTCGCTGGCTTCCCCCGCGGCCACACGGGTTCGAGCCCGGTCATATGGGATTTGTGATAGACAAAGTGGCGCTGGGGTAGGTTTTCTCCAAGTACTTCTGTTTCCCCTGCCAATCTTCATTCAACCAATTGCTATACAATCACCATCATATATCATTTGGGGCTGGTACAATAGGCCAGTAGTGGACCCAGTACCAAGTGGACTCACTCTCACTGCACTAACAATAATAATACGTCCCGCTACGACAGCCGTGGCAGGTGAAGCAGACTAGGCATCTGATCCCTATCTTCAATGGATTAAAAAAATCTGAATTGAAGAAAATTAAAAATACACTCAATACTAACTAAAAGGATATCTTAAACTAAGTCTCTGAATGACTTATTCCACACCAACTTCCATTGGCATCCTTTCCAATTCATAACTAAATAAATCATTCTACCATCTGATGCCATGTACGCTTAGATGCTTATGGTGTCGTTGAGTAAACAACAAATAAATACCTGAATACAGATATGTGGCCATTAAAGCTATTTAAATCTGATTATGCAGCCTCCAAGCCTAAATAATCACCTACCCCTAACCGAATAGAACGGAGAGTCACAGTAAAAACGCTGTTCATTATATTGACAATTGCTGAGAGAAGTAATTGGATTTAAAATGAATTTTAGAGATAACAAAACAAGGGGGCTAGTGTTTCCTTTACGTTGAACTGAAAATTGACATTTCTTTATCATGAACATCTGTTTCCTCTCTACAAATTGCATTGAACTCATGTATGTTACAGTTTCAATTTGTACACAGAATTAAGACAACGGAATAAACTGAATATATCTCTGTAAACCTAATAAAAACAACTAGACCACCAGCTCACAACCAATTTTTCCTTGTATGCTAAATTGGACACTAACTGTAGAAGCTGGCTTGTTTCTATCAGTCTTCATTCCCAACACCAACTTGTCATTTGGATTCATAGAATTGGTTTCATTTTTTTTGCCATTTACTACATGGAATCCTTTAGGTAGAAACCTGAGACATTCAGTCCATATCCAGATGTGTTTCCCACATACAGAAAGTTTGGAAGACCTATATACATGGTGTCAGTATGCAATGGCAGCTGACCTGCATATTTCACCAGCAGATGCTCAACCTCGGGTTAAAGAATATATCTATATACTGAAAAGACAATATGTAGCAACATCCATCTTTCACATGTGAAGGGTACAAACCATGAGACATTCATTGTCTTTTCAGTTCAACTTGTTTTACTGGCTTCAGGTACAAAGTCTGGTCATACACCTTATCTGTGAAACCCATAGTAAGAGTTCAATCACATCTTATCTCTTTGTCATGGCTTTATAAAGTATAGTAACTATTCCGCAAATCTAGCTTCATATTGCCGTTATACTTTCAACATTTCAGCACTTTAAAAACTGAGTGGGAATAATTTTTGCTGTCCATACTTTAAAGGCTGTAAATTTTGAACTGGATGAATGACTATCTGATTTCTGAGGACTTGATCCATGGAGTAAGTTGCAAGGCATCATTCAATAAAGTATGATTTCGCAACTTTCAAAGAATGAAAGAACTAGAAATCATAACCTGATATCAGTGAAGATTTAGCAAGCTTGCAAAAAATGTCATGTAAAATGGGGCATACACGTTCCACAGTCTCTTATAAAAAAGCATGTAATTATTAATTGGAAAAATTCCAAAGAATTATCAGTAACTGATTGCATTGTTCATTACCCTTACAATTAACTGATAAACTGTAAAAATCTGGAAATTTCAATTTACTTCAATTGAAATATTGTTTCATTTTTGTATCTTAATACATTAATTGTAATATTAAAATTATTGTTTGTTGGGCAAATGGAGGACTGGGCCTTTCTTTCTCATAGTTACAACATGGTACTCCAAACACAAACTACCAATCCATGGATGTGAAAAAACTGTGATTACCATGTAATGCGAAGTGCCAAATTCCTTGAAATCTAAGATAACACTTTCAAAAACTTTCCAATCACAATGCTTAATGAAGAATAGCCAACTTCTGAATTACTCTCTTCTTAATGCAAAATAAGGGTTGTAACTATGTTCCTGACTGACAGTGAAGTCCATCAAGAGACTGTAAATATTTAGGTCTTGGGAAGACCACAGGGCCTGACAAAACCAACATCATTTCAATGCAAATCCTTTGAATGTGGCATTATCATGTAATTTGTTATAGAATAAATTTATGGCATTTATGGAAGTTTTACATTGACATTTCTGTATAAATAATGCTTTGCCAATAGCCATACAAGTTTCTTTGTCACCTTAGATTCAAATAAACATGATAATTCGTTTTGCACACATGCAATGCATGAACAGTGTTCACCACCACTGCCCTATGGCAAGTACGAGCCCCATGTGTCCTTAACTACCATCCAATTCTGCATGCCAAGATTTCGAACAAGGATTAAACATCAAAATATGGATTGCAGTATTCTGTGATAAGTTATCAAAAATTTATTCGATGATGTATTATGTACAGATTGTTATAGTACAAACCGTGAAATCGAAAACATTGTACAAAGGAAGTAAAGTGCAAGCACAAAGGCAAAACTGGAGAATTAAAAATTGAAATGGCAACATGACATTTTTATTCTTAAAAGAGCTTCACTTTTTTAAACCAATCTATTTTTTATTATATTAGATTGGACACATAGGCTAGTATTTTAGTTGAATTAATAATTATGCGAATTTGGAGCTGATAAAATTCTCCCCTTGCAATATTATGCAAATTACTATACTTTGTGTAATGCTGTTGTTAAACAGCACTATATGGCAGCAGTGTGTTACCTTCTACAAACCTACAAGATGCTGGATGAAACTACGAAATGTGCGGCTTGGTACTCCAAGGTACCACTCTGGGACTCAACCAATGTAGAAAGCTTCTTCTATGGTGCATCCACAACCAAGAATATCTCTTAACATTGTTAATAAACACTGCTAAGGATCACTGTTGATCAAGGTTTTGCATGGTTCATACTACATAGATTAACATTGTCACTATACTGAATTACATGTTTCCTTAACTTGTACTAATGAACTGTGCATTTATTTTAGAACGTAATCTTATGGGTACAAATCAAACAATTTTGGAGAACGGAGGTAAAATGAAAATTGACATCTATCACTGCTCTCACATAGCTGTGTATATTTCCAACACCAGTCTGCTTGTACGGGTTCTCACGGTCTCTTCGCCTGCGGATTCCTTATATTTTTCCTTCTACCCTGAAGATGGAGGCGATACGTTCCTCCGAAACGTCGGTGAACACCATATATACACGGTGCCAAATCCCAGAAAACTGCTTTCTTTCTATCAATAGAGTTTATGGTTTTTTATGGCAGTCAGGGTTTAGAAAATTTGATATATTTCATAGCTATATTACACCATATTATTTTCCTCCAAAACAGAAGAACCTGCTGGAAGATCATACCTTCCAGAATGTGGTCTTTTGGGACGTATAAATGCCAACGTTTTGGAGAAATATACTGCCTATATTTTCAGGCCTTGAAGATGGAGGCAGCATATTCCTCACAAATGTTGGTACTGATCCATCATACTACATGGTGTCCCATACCTGAAGACCTTAATCTTAATATTCATTGCTGTGAGAAGCGCAAGCCTCACATCTTCTTTAATAGATAAAAATCCAATTTATTTCATGCTCAAGAACTGTCTCTGCTAAGGTACAATGATATAGCAGAGGACTTCTTTCTAATATTGTGTCTGCAGGAACAAACATTCTATTTATCTTTCTTTTCTGCCCATCTTAAGTTCAAGGATAAGAATATGCACCTTCACAAGCAAAGATGTGAGTGAAAATGAAAAATTAAAGTAGTTCTAAAGCAAAGTTGATCAACAATACTAACATTTTCTGCATTAACACTGACAGTGAATTAGTAATGTCTAATAACAATGTTAATTAACTTCAGTGTGGACTTACCTTTCACTGAGAAAAGAATTTTGTGTATTTTCCGGTTGGTGTTGTGGCAAAAAATTCTGACATGGATATGATTCTCTAGAAACGGCTAGCAATAAGAGGGAAGAACGAAAAGTGTTATAGCAAATGAAAATTCAGCTTCTTTTCTTTAACAAACTGAAGCAATATTCTTCAACTTTTCTTGCTGAAATCAGTTATACCTCATAGCTGAGTACCTTCCCAATGAATCGTTGTTTAGTTTTTGTATATACATCATTCTGTCTGCATTTTATACATCCTATGAACATACAGTATCTACAGTATTGTATGTTTATATTATGCATACTTTATTTATAATTATTATATAATATAATCTCTCTTATTCAAATATATCTTAATATACAAACAATATGCAGTTTGCACACATCATTTCCTTACTGGTATCATACATTATAAAAAGCAGCCAAATTCCAGTATTTGCTTAAAACGTATTTATTACTAAACATATTGAAATTATTGTTTCCTTTAAAAAAAAAACTCCTGTCATGGAGAAGATATTGACAGGGATTTTCCCTGCAATCATTCTCAGAAAATGTGCCTAATAATGCTACATACTGAATACACTTCAAATGTGTGGGTGGTTTATTTTATGTACTACGACTAGTATGCGGACTTGTGTGTTCCAAACTGTTTCATTTGCCATATGAAATATTTCAATGAGACTGCATGTAATTCTATTAAGTTATTTTTTAAAAACAATAAACTTAAGCAGTTTCTTTCTTTTGTATCTAGACCAGCTTTGCACCGAAATTTCTTAAAAAAATTACAGAACCTACAGTGGTCATGTCACTGAACCTTGCAGACATGCTCAACCACTGGCCCTGGCTTACAACAAGCCTTGAGTGATAGGGCAGCACCCATGCCAAGAAGCATCAACAACAGGAGTACTTAATATTATTAGTTAATTATGATTACCTTAACACATCTCTCTCCCACATAACATTGTGCTATGTAAAACATTCTTTAACAAGGAGAACTGTTTTTTCTTAGAGTTAACACAATAAAATAATGGCATCACAGATCTTAGAAGCAATCGAAGTTTCATGTCATACACGTTATTTATTTATTTTTATTATTTCAAATTTGGTTGCAACACTGGATATCTGGATATCATGTATAGAAAAAGCAACGCAAAAAGTAACAAGAGTCTTGGTTTTCAAACTTTGAGCAACAACTGCCTTCTTAAAGCCAACTGTTATAATAATTGATTTAAAAAAGTTATTTAATATGTTAACATAATGGCATATTTTGTGATTTTTTGCCACATACAATAACCAATTTGTGCATAACCAACCAGCAATAATGAGTGTTTCATTACAAGGGCGGTGTGAGATGTCACACACTTTGCAAGAGAATGTATTCATGTATGTATATACATATCATCCACTACAGTCTGACTGTTGTATGTATAATGTTTAATAACAAAATGATGGACATGTCTGCACTACTTGGACTACCGGACAAATCACACACTTGGCGTCACTTTGCAATAATTTATAAAGCTCTAGAGCAGATCAAAGCCATCCATAATGAAGTTCAACTTTTGTTGTTATTGTTACTGTTTGATGAAAGAAGAAGCCAGAATGATAACAATGATTATTATGATGATGGTGATATAAATATAATATTCTATACTGAAAGTTCTCACGCAACAGAGTTGGAATAGAATTCTATTTCTGAGAGACCATTCTTTTTTTTATTTTCAACTCATACATAAACATTTCTGGAAGTGTGACAGTAGAATGTTTAATATGACTGTGAAATTCTGTGAAAGCCTACACTACAAAATTAAGAATTTCTTTCTTCCACTTGACCTTTTCAAAACAATTTATGCAGTGCTGGTAGGAATTATACCGAAGTGTGTACAGAGTGCAAAGCAAATTCTGTATATCTGTCTGGTCTCATTACATTCTCAAGAAATGGGGGGAAAAGAGAGATGCTGATAGTTCATAATGAATGACATAGTGATAAATGTGAGTATTACCATTATGTGAGAAAGCACACAGTCTCACAGTTGAGCTCATATAAAAACTAAACTCCCCTTTTCCAGAAGAGTATATTTCTGAAACCATACTCTTAATGGTACTGAATGTAAAACTTAACAAACAATATCTTACTAGCCAGATGAGTTCAACACACCACATGAGTCCCTGACTGTTCTATTCAACACCCCATGCATACGCCCACAAAAGGGGAAGGAGAGGGGTGTATGATGGGCTGCAGTGAAGGAAGGCAAGTCGAGGACACAGAACCTCATACATACAACATAGCACCAACCAGCCTGTACAAGCTGCCACATTATTGTATGCAAGAGACTGAACATTCTGACCAGAAAAAGAGGATAAATGATCCGATTTCAAACACAAAATGAGTAAACAAAACAATTCTTTCTCATCTAATGAGAGATATGCCACCTTATTTCCCTCTAAATTTAAAATAATTAATTTATACTCTTTTTTTTATTGCTTTAGGAACTTTCATATAGAATGAAATTCCTTACAAAGGGGAAAGCAATTTTCACTGATATGAGAATAACAGTAGTCACATAGTACCTTTTGCTTTTCTTAAGTATGTTATCAACAGGGCCACAAGATTTCAGATTTCATGAAGAACAATGTGATTATATCACTATTAACACACATACAGCATGAAAATCAATGCTTTCTGTAAAGCCTCATGTGAGTGGTTATTCAAAGTGAACCGTCTATTGTACGAAATAAAACCTTACTCCCTCAAGTGCAAGAAGTAAGAGTTCTAAATATTACAGTGGTAACAAATACAATATCAATTGCTTTAACATAATATATATCATAAGGGTACTAGAACATTGTATATAGTTGTTTGTTTTGACCTCTAAACAAAGATGATGTTGCCATATGTCAAACTGAAGTTCTCAACTCTTATTCAGCTCTGCTGAAGAGGAACCATTTCTCGCAGCATACATAAATAACACATTTGATCATGTGGGCACACACCCTGCAGGCTGCAGACCGGGAAGCAACAGCCTCTGTGGTTTCTCTCAAAATTGAAATTATTACAGATTACCTGAAATTGTGCACAACTGTCAATCTGATATGAAGTTGAGTTGGAGACAATATAAAAAATTATGGCATGTCTGTATCATGTTTAGAACTCTCATCCCTGCACATGGTAAGGAAAAGAAGTAGCCCTATGAAGAACTTTTGCACTCAGCCTCACACTGGGATGGAAATCTATGTACACCTCACATTAAGAAACATTTATGTTCATAAAGAAAAGTAGTGTAGAAAAGTAACAAGTGAAAAACACGACAAGAGCTTGCATGAGAAGGAAAAAATAACAACATATGCATGTTTATGTTATTCCCAAACCCACCCTCATTGAAAATACGAATTAACATGCAGGCAGCATCTCTCTCCAACCTTGGCCGACAGGTAGTCGCAACTAATTGCGTTTAACGTCTAAGCACTTTGTCCCAACGATTATATTAGCAGGAAAAAAAAATGAATACAAAAATAATTAATGTGATGGCGGTGAAGTTCATTTATCCAATACCAAGCTTGAATCTTCTTAACAGAGAAAAAATCTAGCACTGGCAAATTGGAGAATGAATCGAATTAATTTAAAAATTGTCTTGCAAATGAAGCACATTTCAGTATTGTGTCACTTTAAGAACTATCTTCTTTAACAAGCTTATGCAGACAGGTAGACAGCAGAGCTCGCTAGTTAAAAGAGCTCGCCCCTCCCCTCCTGAGTTCACACCCAAACCTCCCCTTCATTTCCTGTGATGAGGGGCTGGAGGGCTTGAAAAGATGTCACACGCAAAGAACACAACAAAGAGCAAAGGAAAATTAAGCAAAGATGTGAGATCATTTGCCACGCCATTCAACTTGATTTTCAACAGCACTATAATAACCTGCATTACTGTGACTGTCAATACCACCGGACATCTGCCTACACAGACAAATGGAAAGTCCCGGTCAGTGTGCATGTACCTCACCCATTTGGGTCCCATTAACACCAATTTGTTCCTTCTTATATATTCACAGAAAATTACTATCCTGTCCCAGGCCAGGCAGCAAGAGCATGGCAACTGTTAGTGGTGGGGAAGGAACTGCAAGGCCCAGGATAGAGATATTAACTACTTTACCCTTTTCCTCTATGACATTCATTTCTATTGCTTGCGGCTGTAGAGTTCCTGAAAAATTCTCCTCTGTCCCTTGCCTGCAGTCTCGCTCACTTGGCCACTTGTGTTCATGTGGACAAGACAGATGGAACTAAAATATGCAGCTCAACCTTGCAGCTTTGTCTGGGTTGTATGCAAGGGGGACAGAGGCACTCCCTCCCTGTCATTTGGGCTAGATTTGCATTGCCATGAGCCACTTGACAACTTGATGGCAGACAATGGTTCTGCCACAAGACATCAACTGGATGCTCACAGTTTATGCTATGAGTTTGTAATTGGCCTGCTGGCCAGCCCACAGTCAGGAAAGGAAGACAGGCAGGCAGCAGAGCTTAATTTTAATCATTGCGTGCAAATGGGAGGGGGGGACGCTGCCTGGCTCAGACATCAGTTGACCGCGACGTCACACTGGGTGATCGCGAATGGATTACCACACGGTGCCCATTCTTAGTAACAAATCCATCACTCTCAACAAGAACAGCAGTCTGATGACGATCGTGGGGATCTGCATCATCACCAGCATCATCAGAATCATCACCTGGTCCACCCTGGCGCTGCTGCTTGTGCTTGCGCCATGCATTTTGTATGAGCCGCGCACAATATTCTTCACGTTGTCTCCACAGTGTCGATGATACAGGTTCATAACCTACCTCATCAGGTCGGGTTTGCACCTCACCCAGTTCTGCAGTCTCTTTAATAGGATTTCCTTTCCTTGCAAAGAAGTCCTTTGTAAGGGCATCTAAAATGTCCACACAGAACATGAGGTCACCTTTGCAGATTGAAATGTCCATTGACACTATCTTGTACTTGTTTGGTTTGTGTATCTGTAGTGGAGGTTCAAGCACATCAAGGAAATCTGACAGCTGGTCATAGCGGATATATTGTGTACCATCTGGATCAAACTGCTGCCAGATTTCATAATACATGTCATAGTCATCATCTGTCAAACCTTCCTGCACATCTTCTGTGGCCTGAAATAAAACACGAAAGAAAATATGCATCATTAACTACATTCAACATAAATTACAGTCACAATATGGTCCCACACATAACTGCAAGAGAAGGCTATTTGATATTAATGTAAAACTGTATGTTTAATAATTACATATTAATATTTAATTACATATTAATGTAAAAATGTCAAAGTAAAATTTGACATCATCAGTGGAATTTCAAACCACAATCCTCAAAGTAACAACATGAATTTAATAAACTTGTCCTTCAACATGAGAATATAATATTACATCAAATTCTTTGTCTACAATATTTGTTTAACCAATAATTCTTTCTACAAAGAAATGCATCTGAATTCCCGTAAAAATCACAACCTTTATCAATCTTTACCTGTATATCACACTGACCAACATAAAACAGAAATATCTCCAGTGATTACATTAATTTATTATGAAATAACTTAATTCTATATATAAAATGATTATAAAGTTGTCCTTCATTTTACAAAGTGACCTAGAATGAAGTCTGTTAACATTCTGCAAACAACATCATATTCAATCCTTTGTAAATAATATGAGAGACAAAGAGATGTAGGCTCTTAGTTGAGAGATGTCAATAACAGCTTCACATGAATTTACCATATAAGACATCCACCAAAACAGGAAATGGTAAGAATCACTGTTTATGCTTGGTTCCCATTTGGTCAGTGAAGTACACACCACAGAGAAAGATCCTACTGCAAACCTAACTCCTTGGCATAGTAAAAGGCCAGACACCAACTGCTGAACTCTTGACTAATTGGAGTTCTTTAGGCAGTATTAGTTTAGTGATCATTTAACCCTTTCCACACCACACATGTGATATCTCACTCAGGAAATGTGGCTGTTTCCATTTACAGTATCAGTGAAAGTAAACTCTCCTATTATCTTCTGAGAGCTAAGTTACTTATAATTATGTATCTGCAAATATTATAAACCACTGCTCAAATATTAAAAGGAATTTAGATTTCTAAATTAAACTAAGTACTGCTAGCAAGCCAGATTAATCTTCTAACAAAGGAAAATTTTTCATTACACAAATTTGGTTTTTGCAGGAAGAGTCATATTTTCATCCAGTATCTGAAAATCAAGAAGACTATATACTTTTCAAGAAGTTTCCTATATCTTAGTTAACTTCATTACTAGTTAAATAGTTTCATGTCAGAATGGATGTTAATCTAGTAAGTTTGTCATGAGGGCCGCACCATAGCTCAAGCGGTTAGTTGCTGGCTTCCCACCGTGGTGGCCCGGGTCCGATCCCGGGTCTGGCCAAGCGGGATTTGTGGTGGACAAAGTGGCGCTGGGGCAGGTTGTCTCAGAGTACTTCGGTTTCCCCTGCCAATCTTCATTCCACTAATTGCTCCACAATCACCCTCACCTATCATCTGTGGCTGGTACAATAGACCAGAAGTGGCTGCAGTACAAGGGACTTAGTCCCACCCCACTAGCAATAAAAAAAACGTTCATCATGAAATAAGATCTATAATGGGCATGTAAATATAGCTAGTTCCTCTTTAGTAGTTGAAAAGTATTCCAGAGTATATACCTGGGAGTAATTTTCCAAAATGACAGCAATATACATGTTGATAACAATCAGGAAACTGATGACAAGATATGACAACAAGAACGCAATTCCAATGGTTGCAGACCCACAGTTGCCTGGATAGCCCAGCTCATTGTTAGGCTTGCGACAATCATCCTCATTAATGATACCATCTAACACACCATCCCATCCTGCAGATGTTGACATCTATTTGCAAAATAAAAAATATGTCAGCAAAAAACATGATCATTATCTCTCCATTAATAATAAATTGCAATAATCAAAGTATATATTCTTGGACATTCCAGTTGATTTGATGTCAAAATTACACTTTTCTTAATAAACAGAAGGTTCTCAGTAAGGACAGGCTCATTAAGTCAGTCTATGAAGGGGTTTCTAGATTTAAAAATTCTGAAATGGCACTAATCATAGTGGAATTTAGTTTCAGTCAGCTGACATGGAGGAATCAGGGTTGGCTGTTGGTCAGTTTATCATAGATCAGAGCAGATATATGTTGCTCAGAATTATAACTCAAAAAGAAAATTCTAAATCCATCGACTAAATTATTTCACGTACACAGCATTAATTTCTATTGATGTGCATTACAGACTTGAACAAACAGCTAACCTGAAGAGAGTGAATGTATTATTTCATGCTCCTTCCACTTAATGTTTTATACCTTGCAACACATTTATTAACAGTCTATTTACAAGTATGTTTTTATTGTTTTGATTAGTGAATAAACATCTAGACCAATAAAATCCTGAGTATTCTGAACTTTACCAGTTTGGTGGTCATCTTCAGAACTGCCACTTACAAAAGCGTTGCCATGTAATTTCTATGGCTCCAAGAAAATGTAGGCAAGGTAATTACAGCCTAATGAATTACAATTTTCTTCTTATACATATTCTCACGAGCAACCAGATTTCCTGTCACACACGGGATTGGTCAAGCAGTGAAGGAAGTTGTGTATGCTACTCACTAGCTCAAAAACATTACCTTGCTTTATATCTCAGATACAGATATCTTCCACACCATGTGGAGCTACTTCAAGAAATTATCAGTTTGTGTTAATATCATATTTACCTGGCCACGCCATAGCTCAAGCAGTTAGTCGCTGGCTTCCCACCATGGTGGCCTGGGTTCGATCCCGGGTCTGATCAAGTGGGATTTGTGTTGGACAAAGTGGCGCTGGGGCAGGTTTTCTCCGAGTATTTCGGTTTCCCCTGCCAATCTTCATTCCACCAATTGCTCCACAATCACCCTCACCTATCATCCGGGGCTGGTACAATATGTCAGAAGTGGCCACAGTACAAGGGACTTAGTCTCGCCCAAACAGCAAAAAATATTAAAAAAAATCATATTTACCTCATTGTCAGATCAGGGTCTTCCCTTATTACTTTATGAAAAATGTGAGATTATCTTAAAATCACAAAGCATAATACTTTGATAGACTGGATTTTTATGTTACTAGTAGTACAGAAATCACATATTTATAGTGTAGGTGGTGCTGCTATCCACTACATGGGTAGGCTGCCCTTTGCATTATGTATAATTTGTGATGTGCATGAAATGGTAATTTTCATGCTAATGGAAGCGCAGCAGTTAATACTGAATGTGGGATGCTAACTACATGTATATCTATATTTTCTAATGAACATAAACTCATTCAGAACCCGGCATATGAAGGTTGCACAGTCCACCCAGCCATTTTAACAAAATATCTCATTTTACACAATTTCAGATTTAAACACCCTATCTTGGTGGAAAATTAAAATTTAGCATTTCCACACTACCTGGTGTATGGTACAGTTACTGTTCATAGTACTGGTTGCGTGTATCAATACAGAAAAACACTGAAAACTGAACTGCATAAAAATGTAACATTATAATTCCAGGAGCGGCATATACTTATGTATATTGTAATGTTATAAATCAGGCATTCAATTGTTAAAGATAAGAAAACCAGTAAAACAATGTGAATAAGTTGAAATTACACATACTTTGTTTCAGAGCTATACAGAGTACTGACTGAGAACTACCTCAGAATTAAAACTTGGAGGGAAAAAACTGTTATCCATGAATTTAATCTTACAGAAGAATTTTCTTCCGGGGGGGGGAGTAAAATGCCTCCACTGCATGCTGGAGTTCTTCAGCTATGTTTCATAGTGATGACACTATCATCACTGGTTACCAGTGCACAGCTTTTTAATGACACTTGATTTCCACAAATTCCTGGTTTTAGTTATATCTCCGTTACAATAACACTAACAGTAGTAGCAGTAGTAATATGGTAGTGCCTTATAAAGAACAGATTCAACACATTTCATTATTATAATTCATCCTCAATTAAACCTGTATATAATGGACAGTGAATAAATCAATTACTGAATGAATGAATAGCAATAACAATAAAAAATAATAATAACCTGAAAGAGCAGAATCATGGACTGTCCAAATGTCTTGAAGTTGTAAACATCATCAAGGCCACCTTTGTCGCGGACATGCATGAAGAAGGACATGCCAAATATGGCAAAGATGAACATGACGAGAAATAGCAGGAGGCAAATATTGAAGAGCGCTGGCAAGGACATGGCCAGAGCAAACAATAAAGTTCGAATACCCTTGGCACCCTTCACCAGACGCAGGACTCGACCCACCTTGGCCACTCTCACCACTCGAAGCAGTGTTGGGGATACAAAGTACTTCTCAATGATGTCACTCAACACAAGCCCTGTACACATGAGTCACACATACATTACACTGCTGACACAGCATATTCCATTCAACATCACACATGTGTAACATCCAATGTGGAGGTCAGGCTTGTGAAACTGTGATCTATGTTCATAAATCTCAAATAAAGTTTACTTCAACTGTAAGTAGAAAATGTAAACAAAAAGAGGGTCTTTAATTATCATAACTAGAGGACATTCAACAAATGAATTAGTAAACATGTGCACCATGGACCGTATATTAATTTTAATAATGACTAACAAGGAAAACATTGCATGTCTTTACTTTGAACTCAGCAAATCATATATATTTTTTTATATAAAATGATATTTTGTAAAAATTGAAAGTAGAAATCAGTGTATAAAACCTTCTATTGTTCTGAACATACACCATCACTACAAACTAATTATGGCATTATGCAAGTTCACTGTCTCTAAAAACGAATCACATGCCTGATATTTCCATAGATCACTTTTCCATGAGCTGTATTCATTTTTTGAAGCATGTTGCACATCTTCATCAGAACTCTCATGCAGAAACTAATCTAACTGACCAGACATCACTGTTGATTCATTCATCACTAAATTAAACAAGTTACTAGGAATATTTAGTATGAACAACAAATGCAGAAATTGGAGAAACAAGCTCAGAAAAATAATAAATTCTGGGGAAATTACTACATCAGTGCAGTTCAGTTGATTCAGAATTCCATATGGAGTAATTTGTGTTTAAAATTCAAGTTCATTTCCTGGAAGAGTCAGATCATATCATAATTCGTTCATCTCCATCTAAAAAAAGAGGCATCATTGTTATTAGAAATCAATTTAAATCATATTTAATATCAAATACAACACAACAAGCTTCTGCTGCATTTGATAATAAATAAAACTTATATTAAAACTTTTCTGTTCTGCTAAACATGTAGAGGCTTTTGTGCTGGCTTTTAGATAAGGTAAAGTTCCTATGCTTAATTAATTACTTAAGCACTGCACCATGAAGATGTATGAGGGAGTGGATGTATAGACCCACGTTTTCTTGACCTCGGCACTAGCTGGAGGTGAGTGCTCAGCCTCATGCCCTGGCCGCTTCAGCCCTGGGGAAAGAACCCCTAGTACCCATTGGATAGGAGACTGGGTGAACACCAGAGCTGGTCTAGACAACGTTTAAAAATGTCTGCCTCCAAGTAATATTGTAACTTTTTTCTGTTAATGCAACATGGAATTCTGTCAACTTACAAGGATGCAGCTTTAATTCCTTGCCATCTATAATATGACAACCTAATTCTTATGGACAAAAGCATCTGTTCTTCCCACAAATTGTAAGGTGCTAACTGATTTATGTTAAATAACATTCATAGAAATTAAATTACCTCATTATTTCTAAACATGAAATCTGATCACTTAAGCCAGCAGTTCACAGCCTTTTATTATATACAGACCAGTAAAATGGCAGTGAATTTTCCAAGGGTCAGTCCTATATCCACTTTGTCTTTACAATATAACTTATACCTGAGATTCTCATAGTGGTGAGCAATACATATTATTATTAATCTCTGAGATGTGATACCATGTAGTTTTGGAGATTGGTAGCAATGTTTCAGAGAATTCTGCTGTTTCCATCTTTGTGATGAAGATGGACATGACAAGTTCCTCCATATTACTGGTACCTATCTACCAAACTGTACGTTGTCACATCCCAGAAGCATATAACTTAGTACAAAAAAAGAACTCTGTGGCCTGTAGTCTGCAAGTGGACTATACCGACCAAGTGACTGCCGCATGTTGGCGAAGTTTGTGCCAGCTTTTGCGGATACAGGGTGTCACATTGTCAGTGCAACAGATCCCCACAGCCATTAATCTAGGGTTACTACACCGGATTTAGTATAAATAACAGTATACAAATCTCGTCTAAACATATTTCTTTACAACACAAAAATGAACATCCTTACATACTATTAAAAACTGAAAATATGTCATAACTGCCCACATTAAACATTTGAAACTAAATTTTATGCAGGAGAACATATGAAATAATCTGTCTTCCAAGAATCTCTGCCTCCCTGTTTCTGAGGATGCAACTATTGACTCCAGAACCATGTCTTCTCTTCCTCACCATAGCCAGATCACTAAATAATGGAAAATGGCAAGAGGAAAAAAGTAGTAATGTTTAATTCAAATCATTTAGTCACTATAAAGAAAATACACAGTAAAGAAGTTATTAGTTGCAGATTAGCAATCTTCCAATTATAATAAAACATGTACAATATAACATCAACTGGTATTTCAGTAGCCACATAAATTAAGCCCAGTATTGGTACAGTCTGAATATCAAAGGCTGGGAAACACTGGCTTTAGCTAATTAATTACAAAATTTTCTACTGCAATGTAACTAACTATATGCTTCAACAACTACCAAGGATGATAAAATGAGGTGAGATGCAAAAGTGCAGTATAGTGAATAGTGTGCAAACTAAAATGATGGAAATCACTGTGGCATAAGAATTAATCCAGAAATTTATCTTTTCATAAAAAAAGTTACAATTTTGTATTACAAAACTGCAATAAGCTTCAAATTTTGGCATAGTAAGATTAATAGTATTTTAAATAAATATCCAAACAAAATAGATGCCAGGAACTATAACAATTTAAGAGAGGATAATAAAATTGCTGAATCTTTTATTTTACAGTACAGACAACTTGTGTACGTCTTGCAGAACTGCCCAACAGTGAACATTGTTACAGATATTATGTCAAAATGTAATTTCTCAAAATATTTTAACAAATATAAGCCATATTTAATATTCATTAAAATTGTGAAATTGCTGCTAATTCTTAGTTTGCATGCCAGATTTTATAATGAATGTCTTTCAGAAAATTCACAAAATAATCACTAAGCCCAACTCCATGAAGGACAACACTTCTTGAGAAGCTAGGGTCCCCTCAGACAATCAGCAATTCCTTGCCTTTTAGAAAACTAACAGACTTTACAGTTATAACTACAAAGTGTGTTATGGCCATATATTCATCTACGAATACTATGTTTTGGGACATTATCCATCGTCTTGTCTATTTTTAAAAAATTGTCCTGTTTCTGTTTTAAAACACAATGTTTTGGAGACTGGATTCTGTCGCCATCCTCAGGTAAAACCTACTCAGTTTGGTCCAATGGATAGAGCTAGCCCCTAGCTCCAGACCGGACCTAACTGAGTAGGTTTTACCTGAGGACAGGGACAGAATCCAGTCTCCGAAATGTTGTGTTTTAAAACAGGAAAAGGACAGTTTTTAAAAATAGACAAGACGATGGATTGTGTCCAAAAACATAGTAATTGTAGCAATTTACCATCACCACAAACTTTTAGATCTTATTCATATATTCATCATTCGTTAAAGCACTTCCACTATCAATTTCCTCCTAAAACTGCATATATTACTTTTTCTTTCCTGTTATTACCTTATATTGGTAATAAAATGTTATTGTCCAAATGTATTTTAAATATTATCAGCTACTTCCATGCATTATCAGCTACTCTTGCCATTATACAAAAAACAGAAACATGTGAATTAAATAGGAAAGAAAATGTGTAAGCACCTAATGTATCTATCTTTTTGAGATAAACCGTGATGCTACAAATAATAATCACACTTTCCTTCATGCCAAAAAATAGAGCATGTTTTCCATGCCAAAGATTTAGCAATATCTTTTAAATCTAGAATTAAAAATGCTACTTTATATTACTTTTATGTTAGCACTGTGCAAGGTTAGATGAAGAACTACCTAGGATGTCATAATTCAAGATGCCCTTTCCATTTGAATTATACAATATCCTAGTATTCAGATGATATACAAAAGTAGCCAGGATTTCATAATTAAGAACATGATCTTTTTTAATTATAAATATCCTAGAAAGTAATGTACTAAATAGGAAAAGCATCTAGGACCCAATAATTCAAATCAAGCTTTCTTTTTGAATTATATAATATCCTAGCAATGAAGGTATTGCAGAAATTAAAATATTACGCAGCATCCCCCCCCCAAAAAAAACTACTTACTTTTATAATTGTATCATAGATTATTTATTTTCTTGTGCAAGATTTAAGAAACTACTGATGTAGCCATGCAAACATTTGAAAAAAGAGATGTAAGAAAGTTCATGAAAGAAAAAATGCAGAAGTTAAAATGGGATGCATACATACAAGAATTTACTCAAACAAAAATTATGTTTTTCATATATGCGATCTCAATTCAAACTGAAGTCTCCAAATTAGCTGGTACCACAAAAAGATGTAGTGTAAACTGTAATAATATAAAAGTATGACTGTTTATGTTCTTCATGTGACATGATGAATGTTTTGGTATGATGACTTAACATTAGTGTAACTGATTATGTAGACGTCATTCTTGCCATTTTGAGGGAGTTCCACTAGGGATTATATCATAAATGAATGGGATGAAAAGGGGCCATTCATTTAATATGAATCTTTAGAGGAACTTACCCAATATAGATAGGATGACAACTACGAAATCAAACAGGTTCCATGGTTCCTTGAAGTAGTGATATCTCAATGCAAAGATCTTCATGAGACATTCTGAACTGAAGATCACAATGAAAATCATGTTCAAGTAGTCGAGGACATCGCTGAATTGCTTAGATTGTTGATAATGGTCCAGTGTCATTGTCAACATATTTAAACCGATGAATAACATGATAATCATGTCAAACTTCTTATTTGTACAGATCTCGAACACAATAGCTTGAGGCTTCCACTGAAATAATAGAGATATACATGAAATTAGTACATTATTCTAACATTAATATGTATCGACATGCTGGAAATTTAGAAATTATAAGCTGTCATGGACAAATAGTCATATTTTCACTTATAATATTGACAACTGTAAGTTCACATCATATATATAAAAAATGTTATTATTTTCATAAGCTCTAGTAAAGAAAAAACAAGACCATGCTATCAATTAAATTTTCATGATGCAAAACTACTGCATAGGTTAATGATAGATCCACAACTTCACCAGTAGATCAATAATCTCGGTAATTATCTCAGAATAGTCAGGTATTAGCATGGTAGCAGAACCTAGGATATTGGGCTGGTCATGTATTTTTGATGGAGGTAAGGCTTAACACTAAATAATGGTGGAAAACTCTTGCAATCAGCTACTGGGAAGGCTGAGAAGGAAAATGGAAGGGGTTGAGCTGGCTTAAGGCAATGTCCAGTAGTGGACTATAGTATTAACAGTGTTGAACCTTCCACTTCTATTACAAGAGAGGAAGTGATTTGGTACAGATCAGTGTAAATGGTTGATTCATGACATGAATATTACATCCAATATTTCCCACTGTCTCTGGTAAACATGACATAAACATTTCAGAAAATGATTCCATTTCGGTCATCAGGTTAATAGGGGAAAGGATAAAGAATATTTATCTAGTGATCAAGATTAATTCTCTCACAGGACCAACTGAGCAGGAGCCTTCGCTCCTATCCACAAGATTAATCAAACAGATCCCAGTTCCTCAAATATTTTATGTATAAAACATACCCCACAAAATGGACATTCCAATGTAATATCTGTATGAAGGGTGCTACATAAAACTGCACAATTAGAAGCTTCATAATTTATACTCTTCAAAAATATTATTAAAGCAAGAAAACCGCGAATGGGCAGGGAATGTAGCATGCATTAGACTTGAAAATGAATATGACCTTTTACTGAGAAACCTTGAAAGCCCAGGACAGTGGAGAGAACACATGGAATACATGGGAATGAATGGAAGGATAACACTAAACTGGATCTTAGAAAATAGGGTTATGATGACTTCTTTATTTATTTATTTATGTTCTATTTAGTGATGCTGTCAGTAGGTCAGACTACACAGCGTTGAATGGTAATATGAGGGGGACAATGATCCAAAGATGATTGTATTGTTTTTAGTCTTGTGTATCATTTTGTACTTTTTTAAGAATTGTTGACTTGTAGTGTTTTAGATGGCTTTAACTGTCTTGTCCAATTGTACTTGTGTAACAGCTTATGGATAAAAATAAATTACGAATTCATGTGTTAAGATTATTATCAGAATATGTTGGTAAGTTCTGAAGTCTGTCAACATATGAGAACAGCCCTGTTGCATAATCTTCCTTGCCTTCAGCCTGCTAAACTCTATCAGTCAGAATTAATATTCTGCTATTCCAGCACTGGCTCACATTTAAACTTGGTAATAATGGGTTTATATTTTTTAAAAACTTCAGTGCTTGGCCTACTGAACCAGCAGATTCACTGGCACAGTTGTGTGAAACGTGGATGATAAATGCCAATAACGTCTCTCTGAAGTCATATTATCTCTCAAATGAGTTTCTGTGCTCCAGCTACTAATAACAACAACAACAACAACAACAACAACAACAACAATAATGATCTCATCTCATAAGACAAAACAGTTTATTAATTATGTCTATTTGTATTTGTGGTATTTGGCATATTAAGGCTGAGATATTGTTCTTCTTAGGTATTGCTGTGATATCTATTTATTACAAGTTAATCAATAATAAAGCAATGCAAACACTACATTTCACTTTCTCTGACAGAGAAATCTTGGTAATATTAAATATTAGGGTAAAGTTTACCTTTGAAATTATGAATTTCCAATCTTACCTTTGGCCTTGGAATAGCTTTAAGAGGCTTTTTTGAACCCATTTTCTTCATAGCATTGTAATACTTCTTCTGGTCCTCAGTCATGAACATTTCTAGTGATCCACCTGCGTGCAGTCACAAACACAGATTCTGATATTTTGTTTCTTTTCAATACACACACATATATATATATATAAGAAATGAAAATATTCGCTGTTTTACGATAGATAATCATGGGCTTTAGACCACAAAATATCTGGAGGAATACATGCTTATTATCATGCAAACATAATTCAACTTTCATGAATCAAATAAATGCAATCTTAAATTATGGTAACCAATCTGCTAAGCTAAGAGTCACAATTTCTTTAACATCTCATGATATTGTCCATATTATGATATGGAGATTAATATTCATGTATCATCCCTTTCCAAGATATGTAACTACCAAATTTATCTGAAAATAAAATGCAGAGATTGAACTGAGATGAAAAATTAAAGGCATTTCCTTCCATTAAAAATGTTAATTTTACATTTTTAAAGCTTTCTTTAACAAAAATGCATAAAACGAAAGCACTGAGGGGATACTGAACTAATCTGTTAGTCTGTACACATTTTTATTTCTGTAACTACCGAAGAGATTTCAATTAACTTTAATACTCTGTATCTCTGAAAGTGTTCATGGTAGTTTCTAACAGACACAAGTTGCTTATTTAACTACTGAAGAAAGAAATATTCTGGTTTATTTTTAAAATTTGTAAAAGTGATTGAAAGGTTATGCAAAATTCTTAATTATAAACAATCAATTACATCTCATTATAACAGAACTTTCACTTTACATAATATATATTTCCAGTTGAGAGTTCTATAATAAGATGTCTTGGTTCTGCATTGTTTTTGTAAACTGGGGGAGTTCTGTTTTATATATGGTCATGTTCTTTTTTATTTGTTTTATATTATGAATGCTTTGACTTGTTCCTGTGGGAATGGAATGTCTGTTTTTTGATCTGTGACTCATTCTATATCAAATGCTTGTTTCCCAGCCTGTATCTGGATCTATTTTTGACTTTGAAATAAATTAAATTAAATTGAATTCTTCCATTTTTGAGATTATATATAACTGTAGTACTCTGTTTGATTAAGAATACTTTTGTAATAGGATATAAAGATTCAGAATCTGTCTGTTAGATAAAGCACTATATATTAAATTTTTTCTCAGACTTGATGCCTAAGTTAAAACACACTCCTCAGTCAAAAAATTAACTTTTTCATCAATGCTAAAAGAATAGTTACTAATTACATATTCCAGTTACAATACTTATCTTTTTCTTTTGTTCATTGAAGTTATCAATGATCACACCAATGAATAGGTTGAGGGTAAAAAAGGAGCCAAAGATGATGAAGAATACAAAGTAGAGATACATGTAGATATTGGTCTCCCTGATTGGCTGCTTGTCCAACTGTAAAATGAAGTTTTGGTTCTTAAACACAATTTTGTAATTTCCCTAAAAGACATAAATAAAATGTTCTATACAGTTCCAATTTTGTCTTACCATTCCCCTTCCTATGTTTATGTAAGTGAAAATAAAATAAAACGTATTTCTAATTATAACAAACATTGTTTATGATAAAATCCCGAAAAACATTGATTCCTTTTTCCATTTTGTAAATATTTTAATTTAATATCAGTACTTCCAGATAGAAACACGTTGAATGGTAACCACTCCACAGATTTATGGTCCAAAATCACCACAAGAAATGTGACTGTATGAACAATATTACACTGTTACTATTTCCATTTCATATTAAACAGTGTTTGTTTATTTCAGATACATTTATATTAGTATTTATCGTTTATTCTCTGAAACAGCCATTTTCTCATAATGTTATCATGAACTAGCAGCTAAAGAAATATACAATAACATTTAACATTAACAAACTGAGATAGTCATAATGCATGGTGTTGTGTAAGGAAAGAATGCATATTTTAAAGCAGCATCAGCCAGAGATATTGTAGCTCTAGCAGATCTTGAAAATACTACAACACTATTACACTCTCAAAGAATTACACAAAATACAAGAAGAAGCTCTATGAAACATATTTCTTTATATATATATGAATGCATGTATATACTTGTACATATGTTCATATGGGTTGAGATTTGTATGATATGCAGACAAACCTAAAAATTAATCATGAGAAGTAATTCTTACATCTCTGGAGTCAATGGCATCATTCATTATCTGGATCCAGCCTTTGAATGTAGCTACTTGGAAGAGACAGAGGTAAGCTTTCCCCACATGATCAAAATTCATTGGAGAGTTTTCCCACGTATAGTTTTCAGCAATGCAGGCATTACGGTCTGGAATGATCTCATAGCTTAGAACTGAACTGTTGGCATCTACACACTATAAGAGAGAAAAATTTTACAAATTTTAGTGCAAAGTGTTTCATTTCTCACAACTTTTTTTTTATCAAATTGGGAAGAACTTTCCAAATAAACGAGTTCTGATAGAACCTCGCCCTCCAGCATATTACTCAAGGAAATGAATGTGCTTACAAAAGCTGTAAAAAACTGGGTAATTTGTTTCTGTAATACTTGGAACATGCCAACTTGGCCAATATTGGGGGAAAGATCATGTTATACAAATTAATCAAGTAAAATGAACGAAAACCTCTACTACCTACTGTAAATGTAAAGAGAAAGAAAATCTAGTAGTCATATACTGTTTCTGATGCTTGGTCTATACAGTATTATTTGAGATATCACTTTCTACAAATGCAAGATATTTAATCAGGTTTCCTATGATAGTTTTTCTTTAATTGATTTTTTTGTTTTAATATTTATGTAAAGTGCATTTAATCTCATAATACATTAAAAATGTTTCTATTTCCTGTTTTGCATGACTTTCTGACTGTTAAAGAAGTCAGATTTCACAGAAGATTACATCTGGCAGGTATAAAATCTAGTGCCCAACACAAAGTGGTTATATACAAATGATCTAAGAGCATTTAAGTAAAATACCCACACAATCAGCATAATAAATGTCTGCTAATTCTAAAGACGTAATGTTCTTCTTCACAAGGCACATGTATAGACACAAACATTTATAAATTAAATATAAAGAAAGTCTACTGAATTACGCAGCCACCACAGGAGTCTACAAACAGCTTTAGTACTTTCCATGCCCACCTTTGTTGAAACAAGGCTTCTTCTGTTACAACATTTCTATCATAACTTATTACTAAAAAAACTACAGCTACTTGACTATAACTGTCAACAGATGGCAGAGCACGCTGTTTTCACAGGTCATCCCAAAGACCATATAAATCCAGGCCAAAAGGGCTACTGATTCTATGCATGATTCATTCATATAACCTAAAAAGCATTAAAATGCCCTTCCAAACTCATGGATACATGAAATGAACTAAACCACTTTACTATTTCAACATCAGTTTTCCATAATATAAGCACTGTCCTTACTATATAAATGGTAAGATAATGAAGTGACTGGACTATTGACACAACAGCTATCCAGCATATGGAAATGTGTCAAACAGGAGAATTACAAAATACACTTCACTGAAAGTACTTAATTCGATATTATTCTGAAATATATTTCAATAAAAATATCTGGCATGGGAAAAAAATTAAAGAGCACATGTTGTGCCCTTTTAAAATTACTTATCGGTAGTATCCTGTTATAAAAGTTTAGTGTTCATTTCTGATCACCTTGTGGTATTTTCCAGCAAACAGCTGTACACCCATGATGGCAAATATGAGCCAGAAGATGAGGCACACCAAAAGCACATTGAAGATACTGGGGATAGCTTGCACCAAGGCATTCACCACCACCTGCAAACATTACTCATACTCAAGTCTCCCATTCAAACACCACAACCACCCAGCAAATAAGCAGTATGTGTGTACCTGAACGTTATACAGTGTATGTTTCTGATCACTAGTAATGTATTTTTCTATACACACTCCATTGTCTGACATATATAAGTATTTCACATACACGATGTTATGAGAGTCTCATATTCTCTTGCCTTCTTGTGACTTCCATTATATGAATAAAATCCATCTTCTTATTTTTAAATTCAACTTCATTTTTAGGATTACTTGTAACTGTCACAATAAAATCAATAACTCTGAATATTGAACCTGTACCTTGCTGTCCCATTATGCAGGACAAAATCATGACATAAAGATAGCTAGCACATCCTCTGATATTATGGCACAGTTCAAATATTTCAGAACTACAGTAATAAGTGAAAATTTTAATTAGGAGGAAATTAATGAGAGACTGTAATCAGGTAATTCTTGCTGCAATTCAGTCCAGAACCTTTTGTCTTCTTGTCTGCTGTTTAAATCGTAAAAATTAGAATATAAACACTATAACTTTGTCTGTGGTTCTGTATGGGTGTGAAACTTGGTCTATGATATTAACGGAGGAACACAGAACTGAGGGTGTTCAGAATATTTGGACCCAAGAGAGATGAGATGACAGGAGGTTGAAGAAAACTGCATAATGAGGAGCTTCATAACTTGTACTCTTTGTCAAGTATAGTTACAATGGTCAAGTCAAGGAGGATGACATGGGCAGGGCATGTAGCACGAATGGAGGAGAGGAGGAATGCAAATAGGATATTGGTGGGAAAGTCAGAAGGAAAGAGACCACTTGGAAGACCAAGATATAGGTGGGTGGACAATATTAAAATGGATCTTAGAGAAATATGATGGGGTGGTATGGATTGGGCTGATCTGGCTCAGCACAGAGACCACTGGAGGGCTCTTGTGAACACAGTAATGAAATTTCAGGTTCCATATTGCAAGGAAAGTATTAGTAACTGCACAACTGGTGGGTTCTCAAGAAGGGCTCAGCTCCATGAAGTTAGATAGTTAGGAGAATTCAGAAAAATAAGCCTTTTTTTATTACTAGTGCGGTGGGACTAAGTCCCTTATACTGTGGCCACTTCTGGCCTATTGTGCCAGCCCCAGATGATAGGCGAGGGGGATTGTGAAGCAATTGGTGGAATGAAGATTGGCAGGGGAAACCGAAGTACTCGAAGAAAACCTGCCCCAGCGCCACTTTGTCCACCACAAATCCCACTTCACCAGACCCGAGATCGAACCCGGGCCGCCGCGGTGGGAAGCCAGCGACTAACCTCTTGAGCTATGGCATGGCCCAAAATAAGCCTTAGTTCACGGATTACCAAGGAAATTCCTGGGAGCAGAATGCTTCATTATCATATGAAATTCCTTACATAACGCTACAAGGAAAAGGACTGATTGCATGTATCAGGAATATATGATACAGAACTGAATACTCTAGGCCAGAGATAACCTGGAACCTAGCTTCTTGTTAATGCTGAATGGACTATGATTTGTGTCAAAACTAACACTGTTGAGAAGAAGTAAGCAATAAAATTCTGTCTCTTCTCTTGATCAATTGCTGAAGTATAATGGAAGGATTATGCCATCTAATATTAACAAATGAAAAAATAGACAAACAAGCTTCAAAGATCAATGTTCTCCCAGTTTCCTAGTTTCTTATATCAGTTTGATGTGTGTGAATTATGAATGTTTTGTAATTAGTTTTAATCACTTGAACTAACTAACTAACTAAGTAACTAAATAATTAACTAACTCCATGCAGCTGAGTCCTCCTTTAGAAGCCACCAGTGGCTCAGCTACTATTTTACAGACCCCAAATATTCTTTACAATATTCACAGGAACCTGTCACTGGTCCCTAGCTTGAGCCAGATGAATTCAGTCCATACCACCCCATCCTAGTTCTCTAAGATCCTTTTTAATATTGTCACACGTAATCAGTAACTAAATATGAAGTTCGGATTGGTAATTGGATTTATTAACCACCTACAAGTCATAACTACAAATAATTATTACACTATTGCTGATTTACACAATTCACAATCACTTAACACTAATCTTCTCAGTCTATTTCCACTAGTCTTCACTATCCATTTCCTGGCAACAGATTTAAAACCAAGAACTATAAAAGACTCACTAAATCACACACTTCCAATATCACTGCACTATAACACCCATAAATTCTTCAAATCACACGTTAAGTCTTCACAGGCTGACTTCTTATACTCTTCTGCACTCAAGCTTACTGCTTACTTGTTGTGCTCCTCCAGCTTACTACTGTACTTCTGCTGACAACTGCTTGCTTACTCACTCACTCACTCACTGCCCACTTCTTCGGAATCTGCTCACTTATGCAGATTCAGCACAGACATACCTCACAGAAAACGTGTCATGTGACACTATGCACTGTTGTGTGATGTCACAGTGTATGCGCCAGTTGCGCAGACAAAAAGAGAACACATGTCACAAGACTGCTATCTACTGTTGTGTGATGTCACTGTGGACACAAAGGAAACACAGCTTCCTCTATTGTGGCATGCACGTATTTAGGGCATGGCCTATAGATGACGTTCTTCTACTGTTGTGTACTGGAATACGTTTACAGAGCTGTGGCCTGGAAATGGGTATTCACATTACAATATTAAACTCCCACCTGCTTCAAGGTCAACTTAGTGATTTATTTCCTTCTGGCCTTCCCATCAACACTCTGCACACATTCCGTTTCGCTCTCATGCATGCTACATACCATGACCATCTCATCCTCCTTGGCTTTATCACTATAAATATATCTGCTAAAAAGTACAATTTATGCAGCTCCTCATTATGCAGTTTTCTCCAACCTCCTATTACTTCATCCCTCTTCAGACCAAATATTCTCCTCAGCACCCTGTTAAACACTTATTTTTCATTACTGGTATTTTTAAAAGATTAGGAAGAGTGTAGTCTATAACATAGTACACAAAGTTATAAACAGCATTCTTTTAAGCTTATGACCCTTACTGGTACTTAAAAATAGAAACAATGAAATGTAAAGCAGTAAAGTCCCCCTTACCAAACTTCAACAAAATTTGTGAAATTGTTTGTGGGATACATGGAGAATTCCAGTTATGGTCTTATGCAAGGTAGGATTTATCATGGATCAATATGACTGACAATAGGATATGCCTGACAAAGTTTGGTAGAAGTTTCTCACGCTGAACCTCATTATCTGTTAAACAGTTCACAGAATATATGAGAACTTCTTTTTATGGTCTCATTGTGGTTGAAAAGAGATACTGCTCAGCAACATTTGGTTAAAGTTTCTCATATCAAATTTCAACAAAATCTAAGAAAAGGGTTTATGGGACACATGGATAATTCCACTTATGGAAATACATAAACCACATTTTATTTTGGATCAATATAATTGAAAATAGGAACTGAATGACAATGTTTAGTAAAAGTCTCCGACATAAAATTTTAAGAAACGTTGTTCAACAGTTTAGGCGCTGAGGCTAGGTCACAGACAGACATAATTTTTTTTAATTCGCTTAGTGGGGGGTGGAGTCCAACTGGGTCCACTCGGCACGACGGCCACTGATTGGCCTATTGTAGCCTGCCCCGGGTGATTATGATGATGGAGAATTTGGTGAAATGAACATTGGCAGGGGAAACCGAAGTACTGGGAGAAAACCCGCCCCAGCGCAACTTTGTCCACCACAAATCCCACTTGACCAGATTCGGGATCGAACCCGGGCCGCCGCGGTGGGAAGCCAGCGACTAACTGCTTGAGCTATGGCACAGCCCACAGACAGACAGACATACAGCAAACCTGACCTCTTCATGTGGCATTCTCTATTCGCTTTGTGAAGAATGTCTTAAATGGGAAAATGAGACAATAGGGATCTTGCTGTAATGTTAAAAACATGTCACATTACCACATAATCCAGTGACATTATAATGAATAAACAACAGCAGTTTACTGAATCAATCAACATATCTTTAGTTTGCGATGCTCAGAGACAGAAGTCTTTTACTGATTTATTGATGTGCTTTAGTTTGGTCTTATTTAAAACTATCTTGGTTATAAGAACCTGCACACACTCACACACACATATATATATATAGTATTAATGTAGGTCTATACAGGAGAATGTTCGCTATGATAAACTCCCAATGGGCCCAGTATATAAAAGACAAGGATTGAAGAGTTCTATCTTGTGAGATATTGCATCATGTAGTCCATTGAAATTCAACCTACTTCCCTTCATTACCTCTGCTCCTTCATCATCCACTGCATGCCTATAACCTACACACATGAATTCTCTCCCATACTCCTCCCATGACTTTTCCTAGACCAGAACACCACCCTTTTCAAGGGCCAGGCTGGCTATCCTGTTCTTGTCTCCTACTGGTTCGCTCAATTATGTGTGAAAGCGAATGGGTATTGAGGGTTCATTCCATCCTCCACTTCCCTCCTGTTTTCTTATATAATCCAAAATTTTGGCAAGCTGGTTGCTCTATTTGTCACCTGCTTTCATGGTCCCCTGCTCGCTAATTCTTTGACCCTGAAGATGGAGGCGACATGTTCCTCCGAAACGTTGGTTCACTTTCAACACACTACATGGCGTTATACGAGTATACCAAAACACTTACATTATTTGCAAGACAAATTACAAAGAGGCATTATGAAACATAATAATTTGGATAACCGATAAAGCTGTAGCAAACTGTGAAGGGTTGTTTCTATTGTACACAAGATGTCGACTGAATCCCTAGTAATGAATGCTGATGTATTAATGATGCAAGTAAGGGGTGATATCTTTTTCCTTGCACAACTATGAACTTTGTTCAGTGTCATGAAACTGATATTTGCTGTGGTGGTTCAGTTTTATGTTAAATCTTAATTATATGAGTATTACATAGTCAATAATCATTACCAAATTATCTGTTATTAACTATAAAAGAAAAAAACTGA